GGCTTTGCAGAGACTCCTGCTGTGATTTTTGTAAGCACCATGGTCGGACCAGGAAAGTGAAGGTCCCAGGACGTGGGTCTGGGTGTGGAACAGGCTGGTGAAGGCGCTGGGTGAGCGGAGGTAAAGGGCGAAGCCCTGTTCTCATGAGTGTGCAGATGCAAGGAAGAGTGAGTCTATAGCGAGCGTGGAGATGAGAGTCAGCAGGTGACGACGGCATGGCTCACGGCCCCACCTGGCACCCTGGGCCAGCCTGAGCTCGTAAGGCCGATGCTCTTTCTTAAATCTCTCACCCCCCACAGGAGGACCTCAAAGGTGGGGAGCTGGAGCCCAGAGCACGGGATCCGTGTCTCCAATCTCAGGGACACTGCGGTGGAGCTGGGACTCCAGGGACCACGGCCCTGTTCTGTGGAGCAGGACCCCCAGGGCCGTCCATAGTCGGGGGGACTGCACGCCTGTCCCATAGGTGGAGGTTTTAAGGTTCCTGACTACATAGGTTACTCCACAAAACCCGGTGCCCACGGGTCCAGGCCCTGTTAGGAACACGGAGCCCCTGGGAGAGGGGAAGCCCCACGCAGAGTCCAGGCAGAGACAGACGGTGAGCAAACAGAAACGCAGCCCGCAGGTCTGGGGGTCTGAGAGAAGCCAGGGTGAGCAGAGGCTGGGGCTTCTGAGAGGCCGCCGCTGCAGGGGATGAGGGGCAGCTCCGTCAACAGTGCACGGCCAGCAAGGACAAACGGCCTGGCACTTGGGCTTCTGCCCAGGACCCATGGTTCTGCCCGGGGCCTGTCTGCATATTTACTGCACCTGCCCGAGTGGACGGCGTGTTGGATCCTGGGTGTGTGGGTGGTAATGGCCGCGGGGACCTAGCACAGCCATCACTGTGGACGCCCATTTCTTTTTGGTGAGTGCCTCCAGATTCTCTCTTGAGGTTCATGACCCCTCTTCGCCGATTGCTTTCTCCCTGCTGTGTTTCACTTGTACCAAAAGCCACTCTGCTCCAATTCTGTCTTCCTGCCTGCCTCGGGCCAGGAGGTGGCCGTGTGACAGCCAGATTCTCCAAAGTTGGACGCACACCCCCCGCTTTCAAAGAACTGTCGACTGGCCAGAAACCAAACTCTGGTTGATGCTGTTCACAGAGGGGCTCCCGGACGTGCCGGTGGTTCTGCAGGGCAAGTCGGGCCCAGGGAAGTCGTCGGTGTTGGCCCAAAGGCTCATGCTGAGCTGGGCGCAGGGCGCACTCCACGACACCTTCTCCTACGCCTTATTTCTCCAGGACAGGGACATCCGCAGATGGAGGAGAGCATTTTGCAAAGTTGATTGTGGCCAGACTCCCAGGCTCCAGTGGCAGAGATCATGTCCTGGCCTGAGAGGCTGCTGTGGTGGTGGACGACTTTGACCAGCTGGACTCCACGCTCAGAGAGCGTGATGAGCGGCTCTGTGGAGCTGGGGCTGAGGAGCAGCCGGCCTGCATCCTGATGCCCAGTCTGCTAAGGGAAGTGCTGCTGCTGGGGTCCTCCCGGATGGCCACCGTCACACACGTGGGCATGGAGAAGCTCAAGTCCCTGGTTCAGTGCCCTGTCACCTGATGGTGCGGGCGTGTCGGTGGAGAGGAGGACCTGGCTGCTCCTCCAGCGCATCACAGATGACCCTCACCAGACCCAGCTCTCGTGCTCGGTGGAGGGCAGTCACCGGCTTGGGCCAGTGCCAGGTCTCCACGGTGTGCCCACTGCTCAGCCTGGCCCTGCAGCTGGGGAGGGGCTGGGCCCCTGTCTGCTGGTCCCTCATGGGCCTGTGTGCCGCCTTCATGTTCCGCCAGCTCAGGCCTCCGAGACGTGCCACCAGGCTCCCTCAACCAGGGGAGAGGGTGACTCTGAAGGGCTTGTGCGGGATGGCGGCCTAGGGCGCGTGCACCACAGGCTCCAGATGCCTGGGCTGAGGGAGGCCGCGCTGTCTGCCCTGTTTCACCTGGACGTCCCCCTCCAGGAGGACTGTGGGGGAGCAGTCACTCCTTCCTGCACCCCAGCCTGCAGGAGCTCTGTGCTGCGCAGTCCTGCCTCCTGGAAGGGCTGGGGAGGGAGTGGGGCCGGGGCTCCTGTTCCTGAGAACAACGTCCCGGGCTCCTGCTGCTCTGGATGAAGCGGTTCTGGTTCAGGCTCGTGAGCCAGGACGTGCTGAGGGCGCCGGAGGACCTGCCGGGCTGCCCAGTGTCCCTGGCAGTGAACTCTGCTGGCCCTGCAGGCCGCCATGGCCACCCCAGGACGTGCTGGACTCCTTCCACTGCCTGCTTGAGTCTTGGGATGGAGTCGGCCTGCTCCCGTGGAGCAGCTTACAGGAAGTGCGGCTGCCCACCAGCAGAGGGAGGACCTCGAGGCCGCCTCCTCCGGCCTCAGCACTGCCAGCGTCTGTGGGAGATCCAGGTGGGCGTCAGAGACCTTCTCCAGGAGCGAGCTTGCCGAAGGGTGCCCTGGGGTCCCCCCAGGCGAGCGTCTCCTGCGGTTTTGTTCTGGGGCTGGGGTTTGATCCGGTTCCAGAAATGGCAGGGCCCACGTGATCCTTGTAGGACAAATCACCCAGACCCCTGGCTAAGGTGACTGGACTGAATCTGGCTCACCGTGGATAAGGTCCTGGACAACACTGGCCCACGTTGAGGGGGTGGATCTGGGCCTGGATCCCAGGGGCTGTGGTGTTTTCCAAAGTTCTCTATCAGTTGGATCCTTGTGACTCACACGCTGCGCTGCCCTCTAGTGCTGGGTCCCGAGCTGTGCTAGTAGAATTTTCTGCAATGATGGAAATGTTCAATGACACATTGACCAATATGGCGGCCACCAGCCGCGTATGCCTATTGCACGAGACTGAGGAAGTAAGTGGACCTTTGACCTTCTTCCACTGCAACTTGCTTATATTCACGTGGTCCTAGTGGATGGACTTACCATATATGCTCCATGGTGCTCACCTGTCTATCCTGTAGCCCGTTCTCCCATGACCCACATAGAAGCCCAATCTCTCTGTCTAAACCCAGGTGGACTACTTCCCAGACTGTGAGCTCAGAGATGTTCCCCGACTACCTGAGCCCATCTCCTCATCTGCAAAACAGACTTGATGGCGTCAGCCAATCTGGCTGTCACAAAATGGTGCAGACAGCCAACTGTCTGGGAACTTGTCGAGTACACAGATATGGGGGGTAATATCATCAGTGCCGATCAAGGGCTGGCTTAATTCAGCAGAGAAGACTGGTTTTGAGTTTTAGCTCTGCCTTTAACAAGCTCTGTGGCAATGACAGCATGGGGAAATAGCTCCAACCCCTTGGACGGCAGCAGACTCACACACAGAGGGGGCCCAGGTCAGTGCTTGGGAACAGCCAGGCCTGACCCGGCAGCTGCACGGGGTGGGGATGATCAGCTTCGATGCCTGCTCTGCTGGAGGAGCTCCCACTGGGGCAGGAGAAAAGGCACCTGGCCTGATGCCTTGCTCTGCCCTTCTGCGGCCAGGGGAGCCCGGGCCTGGGCACTTTCCTGCCGAGAAGCTGGGAATATGTTCCAGGGTGTGCTGAGCTGGCTCTGCTCATACCCAGTCCTCGAGGCCACACCATGTGTGCTGCTCAGCACTGCCACCTGCTTCCAGTTCTATTTGCAGGTGACAGATGGCTGCATGTTTGAGGGGTACAGTGGGATCTGATGCAGGTACTAAAAGCAGTTAATGAAGGTAATTAGCAAATCCATCCTCTCCCCTGGGTAGGATTTCTGTGCAGGGAGAACATCTTAAACCACCATTTAAGCAATCGTAAGATAAATATTAACTACGGTCGCCACGTTGTGCCAGTGATCACTGGAACCTGTTCCTCCTCACCGAGCTGCTGTCCCTTGGCCGGCGTCTGCCCTGCCCACCAGGCTCCAGCAGCCGCCACCCAGCCCATGATCATGGGGCATGTTCGGGTTCCTGTGAGGTCACTGCTCGTCCCTCTGGGCCTGGGTCAGCCACTTCCCATGCTGTCCTTCAGATTGACTGTTGGCTTTTTTATTTTTCCCTTGAGGCACCCTGGTGAGATCGGGCAGTGCCCTGGAGAGGTCAGCCCCGTGGTGAGGTGGCCCACCATGAGCAGGTGGCCACGGTTTCACAAGAGAATCGATATCGCTGATGCTGGCTCTGCTGCGGGTCTCTGGGACCGAGTCTCGGACCCGGAACTGTGACTCCCTCACCCTCCTTCAGAGGCCCTGGCCACCCTGCCTCTAGCTGCTTCCGAGTTCACACCCTGGGTCCCCCACCTCAGAAGTCACACGGTGGTTGTCCTTCTGTGACCAGTTTGCTCCTCTTAGATCAATATCCTCTGGAGGCATCTGTTGTTGGAAATGGAAACTTCTTTTTTAAGGCAGAATGAAACCCCGTTGTGTGTCGAGACCACATCCTCCTCCATGTATCGGCTGATGGACAGCAGGTTGCTCCCAGGTCCGGGCTGTGGTGCAAATAGCTCTTCCGGGTCCTGACTTCAGATCCCTGGGGTGTGTGCACAGAAGTGAGATGGCTGTGTCGTGCCCTGGTGGTCTCTGTTTCTTGTGGGATGGCCATGCTCTTTCCACGGTGGCTGCAGCATCTATTGGGGGACCTAGAACTTGAGCAGGAATGTGGTTTGAGCGTACGTGGCAGCTCCTACCCACCCTCCTGCTCCCCAACAGGCGTGGAAATGCCCAGGAAGCGTCTGGGGGAGCCTGTTCACGGTGCACGAGGCGGGTCTGAAGGGCCCTCTTGCGGTAACCTGCGGTCTGGTTGCCCATTGCCCCAGGGCTGCTGGTGTCCAGGTCCGTCCCTCACATCTGTGTCTCCAACAGGCTGCTGTAGAAGCCCCCGTGGACGAGTCCTGGGAACTCACCGGAACCTGCAGCAGGTCAACCTGGGAAGCAGCGTCCTGAATAAACGGGCCATGAAGACACTGCGTCCAGCTGAAGTGGCCGGCCTGACATAAGGCTGCCCGGCCCGGGTACAAGAGCGTCTCTTCCCAGGACTGTCGTGGCCTCCCCGCACCCCTAGGGAAGGCCCAGCCGTGACCCCAGTGTGCCGAGGGCACACGTGCTGTGGAAGGTGGCGGGGAGTGACCGGAAACCGGGCCACCAGATTGCTCCCTTATTCTGGCTCCTGAAGGATGAGTAGGAGCCGGTTGGGAGGGGAGAATGGGAGGAGAGCTCATGGAGGCAGCCCCAGGATGAGGGCCATCGAGGTCGCGGGTGCTGACCTCCCCCTCCGCCCCATCCCTCCCTCGTGAGCCGCGCTGAGGAGTTTGGCTCCAGAATCAGGGGTGATCCCTCCTCCTGACACCCCGCAGCCTGGACTTCCCCGGGGCTTCTGCACCCAAAGGGCTGTTCCCCGTGAGCACCATGGTGCCCAGCGGCGGTGGAGCAGCTCGCACACCCCCAGTGTCCGCTGAAGGCTCCTGCGGTGACACT